TCTTGATCTGGGTTACCTTTCTCAGGATGACTGTTTCCAGTTCGACCCATTTACCTAAAATTTCTTAATTTCATTTTTCTTATCATCTGAATAATACTCCACTGTGTAAATGTACCAAATTTTCACAACTCACTCATCAATTGGTGGACATCAGAGTGTTTCCACTTTCCAATGATTATGAATAGAACAGCAATCAACATGGAAGAGTACGTATCTCTGTGGAAATATGTAGAATCTTTTGGTTAAATCCTCAAGACTGGTATAACGAGTGGGGTAGATCTATGTTCAGCATTTAGAGTAATCTCCATACTGATTTCCATATTGTTTGTACCTGTTTGCATTCACATCGGCAATGAGTAAGTTTTCTTCCTCATGTCATCCTCTGAGCTGGTGTCCTGGTCCTGTTTTCTTACAATCCCTCCTGCTCCTGTAGTGTTCTTTGAGGTGTGGGAATTGCATTGTAGATGTGTTAACTGGGACTAGAGGCCTCACAATATGTATTCTCTGCTTTTTGAGCAGTTGCCTATGCCTGTAGTAGCCATTCTGTGTTTCAAAATGAAGCTGTGTGTATTGGTGGTGGCCATGTTGGAGGAGCTGCAGTCGGCAATGAAGCCTATGGAATATGGCTCACCAGTGAGCACAGATAGGATGAGAGTGCTCTGGATAGACAAAGCCCCCCGCCCCTTGTCTCCATAATGCCCATTACTTTTGCTGGCCCTTCTCTTACTTCCTGCTATCATGTCCTTACTGGGTTTGGCATGGCATGATTGTCCAGTGGGAGAATCCCACTGTATGAGTATGATTGTTCTATGGGAAAATCTCACTCCCCACTGGGAAATTTACTTGCAGATAATAGTGAAGATGGTTAGTACAGGACAATGAAGCATAGAGATGTGAGCCTGGCTGATGAAAACTAGGAAGTTTCATGTATTATAGACACATGCATTCTGCCTGTGGAAAAAGTTTGATTATTAAAGAAGGCAGTTATGTCTCTACATCCAAGGTTAGGTCTGAGTTCCTTGGTCATGTAGCTTATAGAATTAATCTCAGGTTTCAGCGTACACTTTCAGAAAACAAAGTTGTGAATGGAAATTAAATGACCCATTGTGTGTTAAGAAAAAGGATCGTTAGATAGACAACTTCATTAAGGTTCTGTAGAATAAAACAAGGAAAAAATCTGCTACACTATAACCCAAAATAGCTACCTGCTAGCATAAAGGTACTGGGCTTGCTTAAAACTTAATCAATAATATGAGAATCATTCCTTTGGGGTGAAGATGTCATAGTTGGAAAATTAAAACACAGGAAAAATGTTTGTTTACATGTGGGCTTCTAATGAATCACGTAACTTGTGATCATAATGTGATTTCTTCACGTGTTACATTTTAATTTGCTTTTGGAAAATATGTAACTTGTAGTTGTGAAGTGATTTCCTTCTTGCATAGACTTTCATCTTACATGGTATAAAATGGTTAAGAGAAAAGTAATGATAGGAAAATTAAGTTTTACACCCCTCAGCTAGGTGTTCTGTGTGTGTTTAACCACGGACTCACACCTCCTCTCAAGTTTCTCTGGCCTGAGGGAGCTAGACTCCAGCAGTGTATAATTATAAGTATTTAGAATATAGTTAGAAGCTACGCTGATTTAGGAAAGTGGCTGTAGTAGGTTCTTCTCTAGGGTCTGTGACCTCTCCAGCCACGGGTAGTTAACTAGGTTTACAGTATTGGGCCTTAACTCATTGCTATTGAGCAAGCCTTGAATTCAATAAAGCGTTTGTTAGTTTCCCCAAAGATAAAAGTGCTACTATTACACCTGCCTGTGGCTGTGTCAGAGGAGCAGCAGAGGGCATTTGAATTCAGGGTGTCAGCACACCAGGAGGCCACCCTGATGGGTCAATCTCGGATAGACAAGGCCCCAAGACCACAGACTCCAGAATATCCTTTGCTTCTGCTGTGCTGTCACAGGTTTGCCCCGCCATCCTTCTCTGGTTTCTGAAATGGTGTAAATGGGTGTGGGGAGTTCCCCACTGCCTGTAATGTAGTATGTTCATTTCATGGAAATATCCCATTCTATTGGGCATTTTTACCTGTAGATTATGAAGATGATGTCTTCTTAAGCTGTACTGTCTAATTGATAATAATGTTACTTTAAGTAGAATTTTGATGTTTAAAAAATAAAATAAGGAAGTGTAGCACAGCTAGAATGAATGAGTTTCTAGTGAGGAACCATGTATTTTAAGTTGATGATGAAGAAAAACAATTATTGAGTTCCAGTAGCTCAGCTAGCTTACATTCTGTTAATACTAATGTTGGGAGATGTGTTCACAGGTTTTGGAGTGCATCATAGCTGAAACAAAGCTTTGAAAATAACCTAAAGTGAGACTAAGTTTTTCTTTTTCTTTCTTTTTTTTTTGTCAAATAGCTTTGAGGTGAAAAACCCAAGAAGAAAATCTGAAGTTTTAGAAAAACACAGTTGGAGGATGGTAGGGAGAAAGAATGGGGGGGATGGATATGTAAATATGAGTAGTAATTAAAGAATTTAAATGAAAAAGATAAAAAAAAGCACAGTTAAATAAGGAGTTGATTAAGGTCAGGAAACAAGAACAAAGCAGCCCAGTTATCATTAGCTGACATGCATTTCTTGCTAGGATTGGTTGATAACCAAAAGTGATGATTCGTTCATTGTACCCATTTCTGCCCTCAATCTCCTAATATAAAAACTATTGATGAGTGGGTATGTTCCCTAAAGACTTAAAGTAGAGCTAAGTGATTCTTTTTCATATATAAAATTTTAGATTTGTGATTCCTTTATGATTTCCAGTAAGATTACCTTTTGAGACAAGTAATAAAGTGATTTTCCTTTCTTTAAAACTGCAAAACTCAGGCTGACAGTAAAAAAAAAATCTTGTTTGCTTACACTCTGTTGATCTATAAAAAGTTGCTTAGATATGAATGTATTTGGGTTTTTGGGATTTGTTTTTCACCTATAATGTGTATAATGTTTAACCATGAAAAAGATGTGGAAAACATGCTGTTTTTCACTTGTATTCATTGTGATCATTCACTTGAAAAATAGAATATGACCACACTGTAATTTTCATATTACCTGAAAGATTTTGTTGGGTATATAAGCTGTAAGGGAAAGAATAAGGATGAAGTCAAAATGAGTTAGAAGGAAAACATCAAGAATGAGAGAATATGGAAGAATAAATGTAGAGATAGAGGGAAAACATCAAGAAAGACAGATGGACATTTGTGGATGCAGATTTTAAAAAAGAGAATATGGAACATAGAAGGTGAGAATACAAAAGAAGAGTAAAGAAAAGGTGTGAAGGAAACCATTAAGGGAGTGTATGAGTGTTTTTGCCCTACCCCTTCACATTAAAATGTCACAGCATGTGCTGACTCTGTATATTTATTCCCTTTGAGCCACACTCTACTGGAGGCAGGTCTCCCAGGCAGTGATATGCACCCTTGAGGATATCTTGTTATGGCGGACATTGTTATGGTTCATAGTCTTTGCACAACTTTGTGGGATTATTTATTGCTTTTCTCCCTTGGATTCTTACATGGCACCTTCATATACTATAAGAACTACTCCTCAGGGAAGAGTCTTCAGGGCAGTTCTAAATTCCTCCAAATCCTATGTCTGAAGTATGTGTTGTCCTTAGAAAGAGTCTTCAAATTCTGTGAGGGCAATTACTGGCAATGGCAATAGCCTATTTTAATTGGAGGACACTCTGGAAACCTCTAACAACTTGAAAGGAGGCTTCCCAGGCCTGTTTTTTGTTTTTTGTTTGTTTGTTTGTTGTTTTTTTTATAGTTGGCATTCATTCTAAGTTTCACAAGCACTCTTTTGAGATGTTCTATTCTATGTCATGCCATTTAAGTAGTTTTTGGAGTTTAAAAATGTAATTTGACATTCTATTTTGAGTACTAGAGAATTTTACTTTAAACCAGTATTTTGTTTCCAGAATTTCGATGAATCAAATCCTTAGCTCCTTTCCCCACATTGCAGAAGGATTATCAGAGAATTTAACTGTAATCCCAGGTGAGTGACCACACCACATCCTCAGGATTTAAGCAGAATGTAATGTCCTATCAGAGTGGACTTTAAGGGGGAGGCTTTTCTGGACAGAGTATTTTATGACCAGGCTGCTTCATACACAGTGGGTAGGAAAGGAGAGAAGCTGCCTCTAATGGCAGCATCTTCAGAGTGCCAACAGCTGTATTTTCTGAGCAGCTCCACTAAGTGAAAGCTGTTGGGGAGTGTGATGATTTTAATGAGAATGGCTCCCATTGGCTCATGTATCTGAACAATTGGGTACCAGTAGGTGACCTGTTTAGGAAGGCCAGAAGGTGTGGCTAGGTCCAAACAGGTGTGTCAGCGATGGTGGGCTTCAGAATCTCATAGCCCACAGCAGGTCCAAGCTGTACATCTCTCTGGCCTTACTTGGAACTGATGTAAGCTCTCAGCTACTTCTCCAGGGATATGCCTGCCTGTCTGCTATTATGCTTCCTGCCAAGATGGTAATGGACTCACCCCATGAAACTTTAGTTAAGTCCCCAATTAAATGCTTAATTTTATAAGTTGTCTTGGTCATGGTGTATCTTCACAGCAATAGAACTGTAACTGAGACATGAAGTTGGGCTGAACTCTGTGTAACATGAACCTAAGAGAGGAAGATCGAAATTACTTGTAGAGTGAGACTGAAACAGATTTTTTAAAAAAGACTAGAGTCTATGTTCCTCATTTGGGTCATAAATTTGTGGTCTAATAACAAAGGACACTAGAATATATAAGTCACTCAATTTTGTAAGACTTCTTGGTAGAGATAAAACCCATGTCTGGGTTTTCCTGAAGCTGTTTTTGGTGAGAGGTCTTCCACTTAGGGAGAGAAAAGTATTTTGGGGACCAAATCCCAGGTTGCCTTTAGCAATGACAACCATCCTAGGTTTCTAGGAATTTGATATTTGATATGATTTTTTTTTTGCTGCTTTTCAGAATGCTAGGTAAACCCCATTGAGAGAAGGCACACAGCCCTCCCTCACAGGGCCACTCCCCTCAGGCCTCCTGCACCTTGGTTTGTGTGCAGCTTCCCCTGCATCTCTGTCACTGTGTCACTCAGAGCACAGTAGTACAGGGCAGAGTCTGACAGCTGCACTGAGGACTTCTGCAGGTGGAACGAACTGTTGCTCTTATGGAGAGTGGCATGGAACCCTTGGTGCTCTGTCCTCTTGTTGTCTGTGAGGCTCTTCAGGAGCAGCTGAGGGGCTTTGTTGAGATCTTGCACATACCAGAAAACTGTAGGAGCCGAATAAGTAGTCTGATAAGCGCAGCTCAGCATCACAGGTGACCCCTCTGTGACAGTAACCAGGCCTTCTGTCTGGGTCACTGAGTCTCCATTGATCTTTCCTGAAAAATTAATCAATCTTCAATCAGTCAATAAGAAGAAATTACTTTTCTGTGTGGGGAATAAGGTAAAGACTCCCACAGCTGTGAGAAGATGACGTCATCAACACTTAGGTAAATGTAACTCACCAAGCATCAAGAGGAGCAGCAGAACTGGGCAGGTGTCAGGAAGCATGTTCACAGAAGACAATGACACTTGGTTCTTGAGTTCACCAAACTCACAGGACAAGTCTCCTCAGGATCTTACTGAAACTCCTTGTTCGTAAACAAGGACCTCCTCCTGCACAGTGACAGTCTGTCATGTGAGACATTAAGCACATCTGATCTGAAGAGGCAGCGCCCTCTGCTGTTTTCCCTTCAAACTGCACCACAGATGTGCACAACACATTGTGAATAAACTTGAAAACTCACCCAAAGGAGGCAGGTCCCAAGTCCACAGTGGATGCCCCAAATCACCAGGGTTACTGAACTATGTGTACACTGTGATGTTTAGGATGATGAGTGTACATAAAAGAACAAACACACACACACACACACACACACACACACACACACACACACACACACCTCTGATATAATTTATCCACCTTTTCTCATTTTATTGTTTGTGAGAATGTTATGTGAAGTATTTTAATTATATCTCCTGATCCCTCCACCCTTGACAGATGAATCCACTCTTCACTACCAACAGAGTTTTGTGCCACCCCCATTTATAATAAATCACCTCGAGGTTTGCATTACAGGTTGTGGAGCCAACATATTCTTGGGTGTGAAGCCTTCAGGATAGGGTGATATGTGTACCTGAGGCTGTACCATTAAAGAAACCTGAATCTCCTTCCCAGCAGCTACCAACTGCCAGTAGCTCCTTAGCTAAGGGTGGGAATGCCCACCTTCCCTCTGCTTGCTGGAACTGTGTCTGGCCTGGTCCTTTGCAAGTCTCACGTATGCTGTAGACCTCTGTGAGCTCATGTGTGCAGCTGCCCTGCTGTGTCCAGAAAAGGTGTCTCCTTGTGGTCACCCCCCACCTATGGCTCTCACGTCTTTCCACCCCCTCTTCCTCAGTGACCTCTGACCTGGGGAGGGGAAGAGGGTCTGTGATGGAGATGTCCCATCTGGGACTGACTGTCCTACAGCCTCCTCTTCTATGCAGCCCAGTGAATTCTGATTCTCTGTGTCAATCACCATGTGCTTCATCTAGATGCTTCTCTGAAGAAGACTGGCTGGTGCACCAATGTGTGTTTATAACAAAAATTCACTAGGAGTTCATCTAATGATATGTCCATTTAGCAGAATAATATTCATAGGTTCTCCCCTAGGGTCTATGTCTTGTCTAGTCACAAGATTTTAGTCCCGTAATTGGTACCACATATGGGTTTCAGCTTGTGAAGCAGACCTTAAATGGAATCAAAGTTAGTTGGCTGTTCCCATGATATTTGTGCCACTATTGAAAAAACAGGCATGTCAGCCAGGCTGTTGTTGTAGCTCATGGGGTTCAGAGACCAGAAAGATTGGCAATTCATTTTCTCCTCCAGTAGGATGCATAGCACATTCCAGCACCATGAAAGCTATCCAGTAAGAATGAGGAACCAAGGTGAGTATCAGATTAAATTCTCCCTGTTCTTTGACTTTTTCTATAAGTTCTTACCATCAAGTTTCAAAGGGTGATCAACAGTATTGACAATATCTCATAATATAGAGAGGTATATGGAACCAAACTAGTCAATAGGAAGTAATCTACTCCTAGCACTTAGCTTTTTGTCTGTTAGCCTGTGTTGTCTAATATGGACATCATTGCCCCGTTACAGAGTTATTCTACTGAAACTCTATGTACACATGTGTGTGTTCTAATGAAGCCAGAAGTGGTCACTGAATCCCCTGGGACAAGACATACACTATACTGTGAGCTGACACAGGGGTGCTGGGGACTGAGTTATTTTCTCCCAGAACAGTGCCTGCTCTTAATCACTGTACCATTTCTCCAGTCCCAACCTGGGATAATTCATGAGGCAAATTATTAAGATGATTTCTAGGGGATGAATAGGACAGAGTTAAGCATTCAGACTGTGTCAACAAAGGGACCAGAGGGATGTAGGCAGAGGTGCTCCTGCTACTGCATGTTTCCTACCCTATTTGCTGACATAGACTTAATGTGAAGAAGTACAGAGGCCAGCACAAATGGTAGAGACATTGAGAGCCCTACTAAGGGATTTATTATTCGTTGCCCAGGCAACAAAGCAACTGAAGGGTGTTATGCATAGTACAGATCTTGTTGATATCACACCACATATGATGGTACATTATTGTTCAAGGTGCGGCACAGATTATGGGGAAGAGTCCCTAAAGGCAAGGAAGCCTCTAAGACAATGAAGCTGAAAGCCAGGTGTGTGTTACTGAGCGTCTGATCTGGAGGTGGCACTCATCAGGCTGGGTGGTAAAGTTCAATACACAATATTAATAAAAAAACCTATAAAAGTAGCTGCTCCTTAGGAAGTGAACTGTCTTAAATAAGAACACACAGAGGAAGATCATGCTGCTAAAGGTAAGTTATTTTTAACTGTTGTTTTTGTGTGTACTAGGATATATTATCCAAGTTCATTATCTTACAGCCTATCAAACAGTGTCAAAATCAACAACAATAATATAACCCAGTCATATTTGCCTTCATCCTGAGACAGTGAACAGGTTCCTTCCTTTTCACTGTGGCCAAATACCCGAGAAGCACCAATGTGAAGGAGGAAGTCTATCTTGTAACTCCAAATCTAGTCATGTGAGAATAAGCACTAGTCATCACAACTCACCCTTGTCAACACATGTACACACACCACACACATATACAAACAACATTCACATGTACATCCATACACATCACATACACTCATTACACACATACACTCACCACACACACATACACTAACTACACACACACACACTCACCACACACACACACACTCTCCCCACACACACACATACTCACTACACACATACACTCACCACACACATACACTCACCACACACACATACACTAACTACACACACACACTCACCACACACACACACACTCACCACACACACATACACTCACCACACACACATACACTCACTACACACACATACACTCACCACACACACGTACACTCACCACATACACATACACTCACATTGCACAATACACTCACCACACACATACACTCACCACACACACATACACTCACTACACACACATACACTCACCACACACACGTACACTCACCACATACACATACACTCACATTGCACAATACACTCACCACACACATACACTCACCACACACACATACACTCACCACACACACACATACTCACTACACACATACACTCACCACACACATACACTCACCACACACACATACACTCACCACACACACACATACTCACTACACACATACACTCACCACACACATACACTCACCACACACACATACACTCACCACACACACACATACTCACTACACACATACACTCACCACACACATACACTCACCACACACACATACACTCACCACACACACACATACTCACTACACACATACACTCACCACACACATACACTCACCACACACACATACACTCACCACACACACACATACTCACTACACACATACACTCACCACACACATACACTCACCACATACACATACACTCACCACATACACATCACAGACATTTGATTTTCATTCAATACAAGTTTTTGGCATTTTGAGTTCATTGACTTAACTAACATCTCAGATGCCACATTAAAAGCTGGCTTTGTGGGCTGAAAAGATGGCAAAGTGGATAAAAGCACATCCTGCTACTGCAGAGGACCCGAGTTTGATTCCCGGGGGCTATATTGGACAGCTCACCCACGCCTGTATTCCACCTCCTCTGTCTTCCACAGCCACCTCTACTCATGTGCACACACACACACATAATTAAAAATAAATCTTGTTAACAACTTAGCTCTGTTTGATACAAGTGGATATGTTTACCATCTGGAGCAGAGATCAGAAGTTCTGTTTGAACATAAACTGGCTTTGATATGCATTTTGTTTTTATCATTTCCCATTTTCTTGGAAATATGAAACATTGCAAAGTAATTTTCTAAATGATTAGTATGAGATGAGTACAATTCTACAAGTCCAATATGAATTAGCATCACATGAATCTGTTTATTCTCACCTGATTTCATCTATTAGAGAGTAAAGTCAGTATCAAATGTGTGCAGTTTTAGAACTTAATTAAAAAAAGACATTTGCTTCTCTGATGAACAATGAGAAACATAAGCTAAAAAGTCAGATTTGGTAGTTCTTTGTGGATCTTGTCTAATGGCCTCCAATGGTATCCAACACAACGCTGCAAGGAGAGCTGCATCAGGCACTGTGCTGTGTTGACATGATAAGATCACTAATAGATACATTATTTGTTTGTTTGTTTGTTTGTTTGCTTGCTTGTTTATTCAGTTGCTTGTTTGCTTAGCTAGATGATTGCTTGATGTTTTTAGTAAGAATGAAGAGAAAGAACAGTTAAAAATGTAAATCTTTTAAAGCTGCAGACACAACAGGTCCAGGAAAAATCAACTGTAATTATTAAAGATTGTAGGGAGACACCCTAGCCCCACCCAATAGTCCTGGGACAGGTACCAGGTGGACCCAGGACTCGCCCATAAGGGCGTGGTGAAGGAAAGCCTGGGTGACGTAAGGGAGCTTCTTAAGGGCTGCATGTGGGGACCCTAGCTCTTTCTGGCCACACTTGCTGGGTTCCTGTAACCTCGCTCTGGCCTGCATTTTGCCCTGGTGTTTTCTTGAATAAAGAGACTTTACTATCAAGGATTACAGTTCATCTTTTGGCGCACGCTCCAACCTTTATTCATCAAAATATATTAGTGCTATTATGGAGAAACTTATCCCTTTTCACTGGAATGATAGAAATAGTGCCAGGAAAGTAAAGATATCCCTCCCACGGTAGGAACTTAGAAGGCCCACATAGAGAAAAGGTTTCTGGGAAAATAGTCTCCTTTGACACTTTCTGGGGAAAAGGCCATGTTAGGAAGTGTTTTCCTCAGTTTAGTTCCTTAGACATGCAGAAGTCACTTACTGCAGCAGACATGAAAGGGGCCAGGCTACATGGGAAGCTGGCAGCAGAATTCAGTGTCATCTG